TTCCCTATCACCACCAGTTGTTCTCCTTAGGAACTGCACACTTGTTATTGTGTAAATCCCCTGCCCCCTTTGCTCCCACTTCCCCTGCAAAGCATACTCGCCACCTTTTCAACAGCAGTGCTGCTGTCTCTTCAGTTATAGCACAAGATCTTTTAATTACAGAATATTGTTGCAAAGTAGTCAATAATCGGGAGATCTTTAAGCTAGGCCAGCATTAAATATGATCAAGCCTCAGAAAAGTGTTAAAATCACTCCTTAACAGGTTGCTGAGAGAGACAAAGTCCCTGCGTTCTTAGAGCACTACAAATTGCCCATACTAAGGACCTTGACCTAACCCCCAAAATAAAACAAATTGAACAGCTCAGGATTTAAATTTCAATTATCTCATCCTGTGGAGACATCCTGGAAGGGAGGCAAATCCGGGAGTATAAATGATAGCATTTCTCCCAACTCTCTTTCCTGACCCAGGCTGACAAAGTGACCATGTAATGGGTTCATTACGTGTCAGAGATCTGAAACCATCCAGGGAAAACTTAAAGCAAAGGCATGACTGTCTTTATGTCTGACCATTCAGTATATCTACCCCAAACATACATGCTGATTCCATAAAAATGTGATTTTTCCCCATTTTCATATCAATAAGAAGTCCAGTGCCTCAAACTTTTAAAGCTCCTGCAGCCCATGCTTACAAAATATTTGCACCTAGCAGATTGCATGCCTAGAGTGAAGGGATATGGGGGTTAGAATTGTTGCTGAACAGGCTTTTTGAGAGAGCCTGCTGGCTTTTATGAATGCATCATAACCCAAGCACAATCAAATTCTTGCTGATTCTGATAGCCAGTAAAACCAAGGACAATTTTCCCCCCAAAAAGTGGCATAAAGGAAGAGCAGAGAGAAAGCTGTTGGTGTTACCAAATCTACCCACTCACAGTTCTCAAAGTAAAACTTATGGAAATCCATTCCTTCAACCAGGTTCCCCAGTGCTTCAGGTTCAAATGAGGTCAAGCCAGGATCACAGATTTTTCTGCAAAGAAAAGCACCACAGGCTTACAGTCTGCATTTGAGCCCAAGCGCTATTTACACAGTGAAGTGCTGGTAAGTCATTTGACTCCCACCCTGTGTGCACCTAACGGTATCTCCCTACTCCAAGGAGTAAGCTCCTGAAGGACTCAGTCATGCTGCAACAACAAGGAGCCAAGTAGTTGGCATTTCACATAAAACAAGTCTCTAGGATTCTGGCTTTCCTTTTATTCTCTTTCTGCTCATCTCACTGCCCTCCCCCAGACTTTTCTTACAAACTCAGGACATTTTCCTTATGTTGGTCCTGTTGCTGTTTGATACCTGACTTCTACTTGATATTCGTCTGGAGTTCTACTGTATCCCCTACTCCTAACTGATGGAGGCTAGGAAGGACAAAACTTTTTACCATCCCTGACTGCATGACAACTTACACCCAGGAGCCAGAGCATCACTTGCACACAAACTGATAAACAACCTGTCAGAAAACATCTGTACTTACGTATAAGCCTCAAAATCTCCATTGTTGATGGCTTCTATCAGCTGCTCTGTTATCTTAATGATCTCTTGCTTACGCACTGTGAACAAGAAAAAAGAGCATTTTAACTGTGCTTAAGAATTCAGTGGGAATATGTGGCTAGTGGGTGCTTCCTACAAGCAATTTGTGGAGCACCATTAGTCTAGATCTCATAGGATGCTGCTCCCTGCATTCTGGTGATATGCAGTAATAACAGCCATCCACATGAGAGTAGGGGGGCAGTGGTATGAAAGGGAAATGGTGATCCCATAATGCAGGGAGAAACGAAATAAAGAGGTCATATTCAATTTTCTTTCTTCTAGAAAGGTCAAGGCACCAGAGGTGTCTCCTGAATGAGAACCCGAGGTGCTTCTAGGGAGTCTGACCAATGGCAGTGAACCTGCCAATGTGAAGCACTTTTCTATCCGCTTAAGATGTGGAAAACCTTCACCACAGTAGTCATATACAAATGGCCAACACACAGGATCAAGCCAATTGGAAAAAGTCTCACAATAGCTTGCCTATCACCATCACCAACACCACAGCTATTATGAATCCTGCAAACAAGCAACTGGGACATGTAGAGATGACTTCCACAAGCTAGAAAGACAACCGCAGCAGGATGGATGGGTTGGATGAACAGGTCCTAGCTATATACCAATGCACACTCCGTTCCTCAGGCAGTTAGCTTCTGCCAATCCCTACAGCACAATTCTTTACAGCACTCTGACAGCACTGCCATTAACCCAACCCAGTACACACGACTTCAAGATGAATGAAGACAAGGGCTAGTTGTCTATTGTTATTTGGCCCCTCTCTGGCCAACACCTCTGCACTCTCTTCTCTTGCTTCCCCACAGCAGATTGCCCAGGCCCCATCACTTCTGAGGTGTTCCATCATTCATGCTGACCTGAAGAGTTCTTAACGCTTGCAAAGCTGGGGTCAATTCTGTTAAATAACACAATTCTAGTTCTATGACTACATGTGCACCATGCCTAAGCCTGAGCCTATATGCACACCCTCGCATCCCTTCGGCCTTCCTCACACCTGCAGGTAACTATCCTGCACATCATGGCAGCATTTAGGAGGTGGTCTAGCATTATCTTTAATATTACGAGATAATATACAATTCCTACCACAAAAAGTGTCATTTATGTGCCCTTTGGCACCTAAAATGTAGGTGTCTGAAATGGAACCGGCCACCTGACTGTTCTTCCTTTAGGCCCTGAAAGAAACCGGTGCTTCTAGAAGTCCCACCTAGTCATCTCAGACGGCTGTCACTAGGGGGATGGTGTTTAAATGTAACCTAGCATCTTTAGATGTTCAAGTCAGGGAAGCTGAATTCCAGCCCTAAGTGCCAGAAGATGCTAGTCTGAACTGCCCTCCCCTGTAAACTTTCATCCACATGTGCATCTCATCCCACCATTGGTAAGTGCAGTGGAAGAGCAACAAGATGATAATCTCACTGGCTATGAAAGATGTCTGCACCCAGTCTGGGAATATGAGCCCACTGGTGAAATTGGGAAATCAGTTAAGAGAATTATACTACCCAGCCAGACATAGAAACCCCTCAGATAGGGGACATCTGGCTCATAACAGTAAGGGAGCTGTTTCTGCAGGCTGTATACACTTCTACGTGCCAAAAGGTGTATACGGGGAATGGATCAAGAAGACACAGTGGGCTACATCTGTTGTGAAAAACGTCCTTGCAAGCAGGCTGTCCAAAGAGCGACAGAGAGCTACTTGCTGGACCTCCCAGCCATGCACCATCAATGTGTGCAACGTCCGAAAGGTGGAGCCCATAGGAAAGGCTCCATTCGGGAAGAGCGAGGGAATCTGCGACCACAGCCACCGTGTGCTGACTCATCTCAAGGAGACTCGCACCTGCTTCCCAAGTGCCTCGATGCGGCAGCATCAGCCCTGTCCTTCAACGCGAGTCCATTCCATCAGCCTGTGCCCATCTCCTGGCTTTCACTACATGTCCCGAGCTACAGCAAGCACACAGGAGGTGACTTTTTTCCCGAAGGACAGAGAGCCTGGGA